AGGACTATTTTGGAAAAAATATATATAAATATGAGAGACAAAGTGGATTGGGGTCTTATATTTAGGACTAAAATAAAAGCCAAACAGGATCTTTTATTAAGAACCAGAAGTAGTATTAAGTTTGATTAAAGGTATTTTTGTGAGAGAATTATGATATCATACGATTTAATTATCAAAAAGTCGTAATGATAAGTAAACAACATGAACCTGTTGTTATGTTTTAAACTAAACCTAGTTATTACATGCTACCATGCATCTCAATTGTTAACATACTTTTAGGTAATTAACTTTTCTTTTTTTGGCGTTACAGTAATCCCCCCAATCCCTCGCAAAAAAAAAATATTTTTACTTGATTTTTGGATGCTTTTTCTCTTTTATGAGATTCGAAACATCAATTTTCATTAAGTGAAATGGACTTACTTTCACTTAACCCAACGATTGTTGATAATGTTTTGATGAAATGGTTTAATTTTTAAATTAAGGAAGGTGAGAAATTTGTGCAAGCGCGTTGAACTAAAACCTCATTTTGCTTTAGTGTTATGCTTGGACTTGGTCTTCGTCTTCTTTCTCGTCAATGGGTAGATAAATGGGGGCATGGAGAGTGGTTGAAGTTAAGATTCCACTATTTCGGTTATTGCCCTTTTTAAAGTTTCACTTTTTCATGTATTTTGACCATCTAAGTCTACCACGCTTCAATATACTCGCATATTTAGCAAAGAATTAAAAAAAAAAAAGAATGAATCCATGTTTTACATGGAATCTGAAATAAGTCGTACTCTTCACATTTGCTATAAATATTATGATTTTTTACATCTATATATAATACAATGGGAGGGTTGAATTTGGTGGAAGAGGTTAGTGTCTTAAAATATAGCAACCCAATATTACACTAATTGTCAAATATTTGAAATGAACTTAATTATGTCAAAAATGTTTAAGCCTAATTAAGAGAAACGTTGATTGTGGATAATGGTTTCAGATACCATTAATAAATCCGGCAAATATGTTTCCCGTCAGTTAATTATAAATATTTTTTTAAATATTCGAATTTTATATTCAACTTGAATAGTACTTAATATTTATTATTCAAAAAGATAAATTTGGAGATTATAGAATTCAACTAACAGAAATCCAATATCCAGCTGTGGAATTTTTAATTCTATAAGAATAAATTAGTGGATAAGCAATGATCAGAGGTAGCAATAAAGTTCAACACAAGTCAATCAAATACGAAGTGCAAAGATTGATTACAGAGTTGAATAAATTAACCAAAATTATATATATATATATATATATATATATTTCACCTTCCATTCTAAATATAAGAGCTAGTTGGACATTTAATTTGATCATAAATATAAGGCCTTGATCCATTTTGTTTCCTATATTTAATCATTTTTTCTCAAAATATTTTTCATAGTGAGTGCACGTTAAAATATTTTTATTCTATTACACATTTACACATGATTAACAAGAATATTTTAAAAAAGACAGCATTTATTTATTACAAATAATTAACTTAACTAATTTTCTTAACATTCATAAATTAGTGGATAAGCAATGATCAAAGGTAGCAATAAAGTTCAACACAAGTCAGTCAAATATGAAGTGCAAAGATTGATTACAGAGTTGAATAAATTAACCAAAATTATATATATATATATATATATATATATTTCACCTTCTATTCTAAATATAATAGGAAGAGCTAGTTGGAGATTTAAATTGATCATAAATATAAGACCTCAATCTATTTTATTTCTCGTATTTAGTCATTTTTTCTCAAAATATTTTTCATAGTCATTACATATGTTAAAATATTTTTATTCTATTGCATATGATTAATAATATTTTAGAAAAAACAACCCATTTATTATAAATAACTAACTTAACTAATTTTCTTAACATTTGTAAATTAGTTATATAATTCTTATATATTAAGAACCAGAGGTAGTGAGTGTATATCACTCATTTAATTACTGAAGGATAACATAATTACTTGGAGACACACACTTATACACACACAAGTGCACAATACAGAACATTTGCAAATGACAACGTATGGCATGACAAAGAGGTGATATCAGCCACAACATGAAAGACGAGAAAGAAGAGGGGTACCCTGATTTGATAAAGATTGTGAATTTTTTGAGGTCAAAAGATGGCATTAATAACATGAAATGTTAAGTGTTATAAAAATGCAAAAAAGCAAAAAAGAAGTGTGAAGTGAATCTTTGATTCCGAATAAAAAGGTTTTTCTCACTACATCATCATTATATATGCCAATGTTATTGTACTTTCTTTGTATCTTTGTCCACGATCAGGCTATAATCCCCACTTTTCTTGAATAAGTATGATTGATCTAAGTTAATATTGTGTAGTCGCATGATTTATTGGTTGGAGAAAAAAAGTCACATGATTTATTGAATTTTTTACTATTAAATTATAATTATAATTTTGTTGGCAAAAAATTAAAATATTAATTTTAGCTATTATTATATATATGGATTGTTAGATAAACTAATAGAATGTACCAATAAAAATATTAAAAATACTTTTCCAGGACAAAAACATTAATTCATGGGCTAAAAATACATTATCTTTTATCTCTAGAATTATTTTTATCTTATTTATTTGAAATATTAAATATTTTTTAGCTGGCAAATCAGACTCAGAAGTCAGAAAACCTATATAGGGCATCTTTTCTTCTGGTTAAGACCAAAGGGTTCTTCCCTATTTAATACTTGTTCATTGTATTTGTATAATTTTAATTCTTTATTTCTTGTTAGACCCTTCGTTCAAATATTCATTCAATGCTTCCATGTGTTTATTCACTTATAAATTTCTCTCATTTTTTAAACTCATTAATGCATTCTGTAGCACGAAACACTCTGTTGGTTAATCTGCTTAATATAAAAACTAGTTAAAATTCAATTGGATTTTAAATACTCCTCCGGTCCTTAATATAAGACCTATTTAATTAATTTGATTAGATTAAGGAAGTTAGGTAAATTAGTTAATTATAAGAAAAGTGACACATTTTTCCTAAAACACCATAATCATTTTTCTTAATACCCCCTCTCCCTCTTCTACTTGATTATGGTTGAGGGAGTATCCATAGGGGTAATTTAGAGAAAATTGAAAAATATGAGACATGGGTCTTATATTTAGGACTAAAACCAACTTAAGAATTGGATCCTATATTAAGGACCGGAGGAGTATGAAATTTTAGTTTATTTTGTCTTTTATATTTGTTTATTTATTTTAACTTAGTTTTTATAGTAGTTACACATGTTAAATGGTATATCAAATAGTAGTTTTAGCTAATATACATAAATGACAGGGGTATTCTAAAAAAGATAATACATATTTATTACGAATAGTTAATTTAACAAATTTTTTTAATCTATTATTTCTTATATTAAAGACCCAACTAATATTGCTTTTCTTTGTATTTTTTTTCCGGCCATTATCTCTCTGCTTTTTTTTTTTTGGCCCCCAAAGCCATTATCTCTCATTTCTTTGGTTTTTAATCATAAAATTTGTTTGCGTGTGCGTGTTTATTTCTTATCCAATTTTACCGCATCAGTCATGTTGACGCGAGAAACAAACTTAATACTACCTCCAATTCTAATTATAAGAGCTAGTTGACTAATTTGTGGAAACTAAAAAGATAATTTAAGTTAGTTATTTGTAATGAATAAGTGTTGTATTTTTTAAAATATCCCTACTAATTAAATATATTTAATAAAACTACTATTATTATAAGAACTTTCTTAAAAAAATACATAAATATGATAGATAAAATGGATTGAAATGTCATATTTAGCACTAAAATAAAAATCAAACGAGTTTTTATATTAAAGATAGGAGGTAGTATATATTTATCTAAAAGAAATTAATTTCCTTATTTACCTAAAGAATTAATTGTTCTTTATACAAGTTTGCCCTATGAGTCATGTTCACGTCACCCAAAGACTTCATTTCCCTATTAATCTCCTTGTCACTGTTGCTGGCACCGTCTGTTTACAGACCAATAGTCTTTTTGCCATCTATAGCCCAATACAGTTAAACGTCTTGCTCTCTTTTTTTTTTTGGGGGGGGGGGTGTAAAGGGATTAAAAAAGTCAATTATACAGAAATTTTGGTTGTAGAAAAATTTTCTCATGAGAACTATCTTACTTAATTACGAATATATAAATTTTAATTAAAAATAAATTTTCATCTCATATATTGAAAACAATTATGAAATTACTTCGACTGAGTGGATATTTGTTTTTCAACAACCAGCTAGAAGAGAATATTTCTAATGTATTGTGTCTTTCTGAAATTTAATGTACAATCCTTTGAGTATCATTTTTACAAGAAACAACTGTCTGTGACTTTTTGTCTCGTTTATAAGAGATATTTAGATGATGCTTTAATTTTTTTTATTAATTTCGATTAACATATTTATTATCTCTCAACCCAAAACATTATTCTGTACTTCAGCAACTCTTTCAACCATACATTCTCTCCTGTCTGCTCCACAATCCTTTTTATTCTACTAATCTTTTTTTATCTCCTTTTATACTCTCCATCTCCTATCTCTTCATAAATAAAATTATTTTTTAAAAAAATTATAATTTTTATTTATTTATTATTTTTAACTTATTTTAACTAACTTTTTCTATTTGATGAACTTTTTTTTATAGAAAAAACAGATGGAGCAATGAAATTTCTGTTTTTTAAGAAAAGGAAGGACAATTTTATGAATAGCACTCCAAAATTATAAAATTTGTGACGTGTGAAAGTGAAAATGAAAATGACGTGGACATGGAGCTATTCTGGGCAATGATATTGATGTGCTTTTCTGTAATTTCGGTGGGTAGTTGGGGCAGCCTTGAATGCATTATATAACCCAGAAAAGTCCATAATTACTTGAAACTTTTCGGAAGCCTTCAGGGATATCTCCAATGGGAAACCTCATCAAAAAACAATTAATTCGATCGTTTAATTATTAATTTAATTAGATGCTCCTCCAATCACTAGGACAATCCATAAATCTCCTTTAACCATTCCAAGAAAATCTCTAAGCCCCTTTCCCTCTAACTCTTCTTCATCCCCAGTCTCCTTTTTGGATTCTTCCCTCCCCATAAATTGGCGTCTTTCCTTCCCTCCAGATTCTCACCCACCACCCCAAAACACACCCACTCTCTCTCTCTTCCTCTCTCTCTCTCTCTCTCCAACAGTTGCTTCGTCGTCGTCCGTGATCGTCGGTGATGGCGGAGGCGCCTGCAGCCAACGGAACCCATGATGTTGTTCTGAACGTCAATGACAAATCCAATGAAGACTCCGGAATCTCCTTCTCCGTCCCTTTCTTGCAGAAGGTACGTCCTTCTCCTTCTCTCTCTCTGAAGTCTGAAAATTTAATCTTCCCAGAACGCTAATCTCTCTGGGGTTGTCGGATTTGGTTATTTACAGTTGGTGGCGGAATTCGCGGGGACATACTTTCTGATATTTGCCGGCGAAGCAGCGGTGGTGGTGGACAAGGGCTACGGCAACAAAGTAACGCTTCCTGGGATTTCCATAGTCTGGGGTCTTGTCGTTATGGTTCTTGTCTATTCCGTTGGTCACATCTCTGGGGCTCATTTCAATCCTGCTGTCACTCTTGCTTTTGCTTCTACCAAACGTTTTCCCCTCAAACAGGTCAACCACCGTACCTGACATTAATTTTTCGATTTCCCCTATGAAATGAAGTTGTTGTCTGATTCATGTAGTACATATGATTTTGATGTTGCAGGTGCCAGCTTATGTATCAGTTCAGGTTCTGGCAGCGACCCTTGCGAGTGGGACTCTGAGACTTATATTTGAAGGAAGCCGCGACCACTTCGCAGGAACATTGGTTTCTGGGACGTATCTTCAAGGTTTTGTGGTCGAGTTCATCATCACCTTCTACCTCATGTTTGTCATATCTGGTGTGGCCACAGATAACAGAGCGGTAATCTCCGAATTCTTGTTTCTTTTTCTGGTTCGTTAACTTCCCTGATAAAAGAGGTTGGCAATCTGCTTTGTCTTTGATGAAATATTAAAGAATGGAACCGAAGTTGACTAAATGTGGTTAAGTATAACGTTGCTGCTTTGAAGTAATCGCTTGGTGGTATGCTTGAAGGTTACATCAGAAGCGTATCAAATATGTTTTTGAATAATGTTCTATTTTCTTTTTAAAGGTTTTTTTATATGTTCTGTTCTGTGATTATGAATTGTGCAGATTGGTGAGCTGGCTGGTCTCGCGGTGGGGGCAACCGTGTTGCTTAATGTCATGTTTGCTGGGTATTATAATCTTACCCCCTTTCTTTTTTCCTTATAATCCACACAATCATCTTTTTTATTTATTTTCTTCAAATAATTGAGATCTCATTGCAATAGTTGAACGCAGAGAGATTCATGAAAAAGCCTCCTTTTTCTTTTTAGCGACCACCTATCTATTAAAACAAGATGTGGGGTAGCTATTTGAAAAAGCTCGCATAGCATTTATGATATGATTTATGGAAGGTTTTGAATATCTGTTGCAATGCTCTGAAATGAAATGAGAAACTACGAGTGAGGCGGTGGGTGATGAGTCCTACTGCATAGTGGGTACTACCAGACCTTCTAGGTTTTTGTCTCTCTCGCAATACAAATTATCTTCGATTTTTAATATAAAACTTATAATGTAAATTATATTATAAAATAAGTTATCTGGAGAATATATATGGAGTGATTTACCCTTCATCTTTGGAGAAAAAAATATTACTTTTATTTAAGTTTTATAAGTGTGATCAAAGTCAGACGTTTGACCAGACATAAAAGGTCTATTTTTTCTTGAACTTTCATTTCTCAACTTTTGTTTATTTATAAGTGTGCTCTAACTTCTGACCCCCCCCCAAAATCATACCTAATTATATATTTAATTTGATTTTAGATATAAAATCTCAATCACTTTATCTCTTATAACTATTTATTTTTTCTCAAAATAGTCCATAGTCATCACATATGTTAAGTGTTTCTATTTTAGTGCACATGAATAATTAGATTATTTTATTACAAATACAACCCATGGTTAAAATTGCACTAATTCTCTGTTTCGTCATGTTGATCCTAGTACGTGTATTTTCTTGTGTGATAGGCCGGTGACCGGAGCGTCAATGAACCCCGCCAGGAGCTTGGGGCCGGCAATAGTGTGGCACGAATACAAAGGAATATGGGTGTACATGATAGCGCCGGTGACTGGAGCAATTTCAGGGGCATGGATTTATAACATCATAAGATACACAGACAAGCCAATAAGGGAGATCACAAAGAGTGCTTCTTTCCTCAAAGCTTCCAACCGTTGTGTTTCCTCCAAGTGATTCTGGTTATTCTGATGACAATAAATCTCTAAATCACTGTCTTTGTTGTTTTAATTTCTTAGGTTTCAAGGGGAAATACTGTAGTCTTCTAATGTTCCTGTAGTTTTAAAAGGAGAGGAAAGGAAGGGAAAGGAGATGATGAGTCACATGTGGACTCGTTAGAGCATGTAATGTATACAAAATTATTGGACAATAATTAAGAAACTTTTTGGAAAATCTTATCCTTCCTGATTAGCATATTAAAAAATTGATAAATGCATGAACACCTTGTGACGAATAATTCTTACATTTTAGTCAAAGGTATTGATGAATATAATCATCTTGTTTTATTCATTTTCTTCTCCGTGGAATTAAAGTTCGCAACTTCACGTGTGATTTAATAATTAATAGATTGATATTCAATAAAGACTAAAAATTAAAAATTAATTATATTCATTTTCTCATAAATAAGATGGAAGTCACATGGAATTTTTTAAAAAATTAAGAAACGTTCTCCTCTTTAGTGAAGTGTTCAATTTTTTAAGTCTTTTTGTTAAATTTAATTTAATAAAAATGAAACTAGAATCGAAAACCAGGGGAAACCAATGAAAAAAGTAATGGAGCATAATCCATTAAAAACAATCAAGTTCCGATCTCTGTCTTTTTAAGTGAAGTTTAGAGATAGCATGTGCATCCATTTGCTTCATTCTATTACAAAAAGACGATACATTAAAATTTTACATGTTGATACAAATTTTGACAAAATTAAGTTTAATTAAGATTGAGTTTAATTTTTAAAAATAAGACACAAAAATAATCACTTTGAGACTAATGAAATTAAGAGATGAAATTGTATTTTATTTATAATCTTTTCGTGTGTGTAATTTCCTGTAGCAAATAACTTTTAAATCCATGCATTGGTGTGAAAAGAGTTACGTTGAATGTGAATGCATTTAAATTGGAAATGGATAGGCTTTTTCGCCCATTTGCTTTTCACGTAAAAAGAGGAATTGAACATTAAAAAAAGAGGAATAGGCAGCTCGAACGGGATAAGATCATATAAATCAAAATTTGATGATATGTAATTAGTTTGATCAAATACCACTTTGAATATTATTATAACTTACCTTCAACTAATTCTCACAATTTAAGGAGTTGAAGTTAAGTCTGTTGAAAAAAAATAGGAGTGACAAGTCATTATATATATGGTTAAATTTTTTTGTCGAAATATATATGTTTAAATTGATAAAATTTTCAAACTTGCCCTTATTAAAAACTATGCATTAAAAATTATGCTATACATTTTTTTTGCTGTTTCTTTTAATGTGAGTAAAATTAAAAATTAGTCATTAATAACTCCTTAAATGATTTATTCTTGAGACCAAATTTTTTTTCTATAAACAATTTATAATAAAAACTAGAGAGATAAGTTGGAGAGAATAATTTTGGATCCAACTATGACTACGCAATAATGTTAATAAAAATGATATTAATCAAACGTGCCCTTGAATCAATCAAGTCAAAGTATCAACAAACCAAAAACATAGAATGATAAAAAGAATTCTGATCCTCTTAAGTCTTCATCATAAAAGTACTTAATCATGAGAAATAAAAAAGAAAAAGAAGGACATGAATATAGTATTGGATCTCACTTCTAAACACATAAATATTACTCCATCCGTTCCTTATTATAAGAGACATTTGATGCTTATGGCATGTTCCCATATATAAGAGACACTTAAAAGTTGTCTCTATTTTTTTGTATTGATTTCCTATTTTACCTCTATTTATTTTGTGTCCAACTTATACTCTCTCTCCCTTCCACTTCTCTTTCTTTTAATAATTTAATTATTTTCTCTCATACTCTCTCTCCTTATTAATGGGGGCATTGTTGAAAAAAATATTATACTTTTTACACATTAATTGTCCTCAACTAACTTTAACTGTTTTTTTATCAACGTAATTTAGTTATTTGTCTCTTATAATAAGGAACGGAGGGAGTATGCTCGAGGAGCTAATTGGAAAGTTAGTTTTAAACTTAAATGTAAAAATCTTAATTCATTTTATCATTTCATATTTATAATGTTTTCAAACTTTCTAATTTATAGATTAATATAATATATATAATTTAATATTACATGAATATATTTTGAGGAGATCATGCTAATTTTTTTAAAAATTGAGGACTAGAGGAGTATTAAAGTGAGATTTATTAATTTTTTTTATCTCTCTACTTATATTAGTAAGTATTTTACGGTTACCCATTGATGACGAGAGGATTTAAATCCACGAAAAGCTTGCAAAAAATCTCATTAAAAAAGTGCATTAATAGTTTGTTTGGATGAGGACAAAATTGAGAAAAAATAATGAAATAAACTGAATGGATAATGTTATCAATCCTCATATTTGAATCGAGGAGAGGAAAGAAGAAAAATATGGAGAATAAAAGTGGTCAAACGTGACAATGATAAATTGAAAGGGAAAAAAAAAAGCAAATGATATATGTTTAAAATTATTTTCCCATATTCGTATATGTTTAAAAATAAATTGAAAAAAAAATATTTTTCATACTTGTAAAACTGACTCGGTAGGATTGGCCGATTGGGTGGGGGGTGAATCGCTCCCTTAAAAAACGGCGAGGTGTAGGGGTAAAAGTGGAAGAAGAATTCCCCCGGCCCCCAACCCAAAAAAGAATTAAAAAAAAAAATCTCTCTACATTTGTGTAGAAAAGTTCGGAGAAAGGTTATGGGTTTGAGCCCCCATTTTCCCGCTCTTCTTCCTTCTTTTTACTTTTCTTTCCTCGTCCAAACATCGGATTCTCACATCTTTTCCCCTTCTTTTAATTTCTTTTCAATTTACACGGTAAATGGAGTGATCGTTCAGGTGTTATTTGGAACAGTCAGAGTGAAAAACATTCAAACGCTGGAGTCAGTCATCTCCATCTCCATAGCCTTTGGGATTCCTCCCTCCCTATAAATTGGCCTCTCGTCCTCCCTCCTTTCTCTCACACTCATACCCACCACCCCAAAACCCCCCCTCTCTCTCTGGAAGTTATCTTCGTCGTCGTCTGTAATAGTCGGTGATGGCGGAGGCGTCCGCAGCCAATGGGACCCACGACGTTGTTCTGAACGTCAATGACAAGTCCAATGAAGACTCCGGCATCTCCATCTCGGTCCCTTTCTTGCAGAAGGTCCATACTCCTTCTCTCTCTCTCTCTCAAAAGTCTTAAACGTGAATCTCCCCAAAACGCTGGCTACCCTATCTGAGGTTGTGGGATTTGATTATTTACAGTTGGTGGCGGAATTCGCGGGGACATACTTTCTGATATTTGCCGGCCAAGCAGCGGTGATGGTGAACAAGGGCTACGACAACCAAATAACGCAACCGGGGATTTCCATAGTTTGGGGTCTTGTTGTTATGGTTCTTGTCTATTCCCTTGGTCACATTTCCGGTGCTCATTTCAATTCTTCTGTCACTATCGCTTTTGCTTCCACCAAACGTTTTCCCCTCAAACAGGTTAATCATCGTACCTCACCTTAATTCATCGATTTCCTCTGTGAAATGAAGTTGAGTTGTTGTCTGATTCATATATATGATTTTGATGTTGCAGGTACCAGCCTATGTATCAGTTCATGTTCTGGCATCGACCCTTGCGAGTGGGACTCTAAGACTTATATTTGAAGGAAGCCGCGACCACTTCCCAGGAACATCAGTTTCTGGGACGTATCTTCAAGGTTTTGTGGTCGAGTTCATCATCACCTTCTACCTCATGTTTATCATATCTGGTGTGGCCACAGATAACAGAGCGGTAATCTCAGAGTTCTTTGTCTGATATATAGATGCCTAGCAAATGAGGTTGAGAATCTGCTTTGTCTGTGATGAAATATTAAAGAATGGAACTGAAATTGACTAAATATGGTTTAATATACTGTTTGCTTTGAATCACTTGGCGGCATGCTTGATGAAGCTTACATCAGAAACGTATTAAAAATTGCTTTTGAATGATATTCTGTTTTGCATTCTATTTAGAGATTTTAATATGTTTTGTGTGGTGATTCTGAATTGTCCAGATTGGTGAGCTGGCTGGTATCGCCATAGGGGCAACCGTGTTGCTGAATGTTATGTTTGCCGGGTATTATATTCTTATCCCATTCCCTAATATTCCAAGCAATCATGTTTTTTCCTTCAAATTGATATCGCATTACGTATTTGACCACAAAGAGATTCATGAGAAAAAGCTTCGTTTTTTCTGATGATGATTCATGAAAGGTTTTGGATTATCTGTTGCAATCCTTTGATGCAACAAGAAAAGACGAGGGAGACCCCCCGGGGGGGCGGGGGCCTGTGGGTCCCACCCACCCTTGTCGCTCTCTCTCTCTCTCGAGTCTTGACTACAAATTTGTATGTGCGTGCGTAAGGACTGATTTGCCCTTGCTCAGTTTTTTTACCTTGTGTCCTATAAATAGCCTTTAAATTTGTTAATTTTATAAGCTTTATTTTGGATTTTTCTAGCCATTTAATGTATTTTTTAAAAATTTGTCCCTAATTAATTTATTCTCCCTTCTCTGCTACTCTTATTAATTTTTTTTTCATACATTCTTTTTCATCTTTTTTCTTATTTGTTACGAGGATTGTTTAAAAATAAAAGTATATTTGTTCCTTATTTATTGTTTTTAACTGATTTCTTATCATACACAAATTGTTTATTTAAAGTTTATAATAGGGACAGAAGGAAGTAAGGTTTCTTAGTTTGACCAGAGTCATACATTTGGCCACAAATTATTTGTTTAGGGTCTAAAATCATGCCACCTCGATATTTAATATAAAAGTTAGTTTGATATTTAATTAAATCCTAAATATAAGATCTCAATTCATGTTGTCTATCATATTTATATATTTTTAAAATAGTTGCACATATTAAATGTTTTATCGAATGGTAGTTCTAGCTAATATACATGATTAGTAAGGATATTCTATAAAGGATAATACATATTTGTTACAAATAACTAACTTAACAAACTTTCTTAATATATTCAAATTAGTGAATTAGATTTTATATTAAGAACATAAATTAGTACTCCTCCGGTCCTTAATATAGGACTCAATTGGTGAGTTGGTTTTGGTCCTAAATATAAGACCTATTTCTCATATTTATCAATTTTCTCTAAATTACCCTTATGGATACTCCTTCAACTATAATCAAGTATAAGAAGAAGATGAGGTATTAAGAAAGATGATTATGGTATTTTAGGAAAAACGTGTCACATTTTTTATAATTAACTAACTTACCTAACTCCCTTAATCTAATCAAATTAGTTAAATGGGTCTTATATTAAGGACCGGAGGAGTATAATGTAGATTTATAAATTCTTAACACGCACATCGAACGATCCTCTATGTAATGGGCATGGTATTCATTTTACTATGTCTTTTTGATTGACAGGCCGGTGACCGGAGCATCAATGAACCCGGCAAGAAGCTTAGGGCCGGCGATAGTGTGGCACCAATACAAAGGAATATGGGTGTACATGACGGCGCCGGTGGCCGGAGCAGTGGCGGGTGCATGGGTGTACAACATGATAAGGTACACCGACAAGCCAATAGGAGAGATCACAAAGATGGCCTCTTTTGTCAAAGCCTCAAACCGTTGTGGTTCCTCAAAGTGATCTTAATCATTCGGTTCATGACAGATCCTCAAATCACTGTCTTATTGTTAGTAGTCTTGTAATTAAAAGTTGTACGTAGATGCTAGATTATTAGAAAATAATTAGGAAACTTTTGGAGAAAATCTTATCCTTCCTTATTTTACTCTCCTCCGTTCTATTTATAAGACAAAAAAAAGTTTTTGGTCCTATTTATACAATAGAGAAATAAATTTTTTATATAAATATATAATTTCATCCTTCATGTTGACATTATTCTTATAGGATATAATGTATTATATATATTATATGGAAATAAAGTTAAAAAAATTATTGAATTTTAAAAGAGAATTAAGTTGAGTGCATTTTAAAGGAGGCGTGGATAAGCTTGTTTGCCCATTCGTTTTTCACGTAAAAAGAGGAATTGAACACCCAAAAAGTGGAATTGGTAGCTCAAAATGAATAAGATCATATAATAATGCGCAGTGGATAAAATTTTTTTTCCCGTTTTTACTTTTTGTCTAAATTAAAATTTAATGATCTGTTAGTTTGATCAATTAACTTGAGATGGAATGTTTGATCCAACGAGGGCTCTACAATGTTAATGAAAATTATACTTATCAATCAAACATTCAAACCTTCCCTTGAATCAATCAAATCAAAGAATCAACAGACTTGAAAAAAAAAAAAAAGATAGAATGATAAAAATAAGGGAAAATCCCAGAAAAAACCCTTGAAATATACCAAATCTCAGATTGGGTTAAATTTCAAAAATGACAGAATGGGTCATTGACCCAATCTGTCAGTTGTGAAATTCAGGCGAATTGACATTTTTGCCCCTGAGTAAAAGTGAGTAGTTATTCTCTAAACAAATCTAGGTAACGCTTACACTGTTCTAGTGATTACAAGATTCGTTGTAGTTAATAATAAGGTACCTCACAATAATAAGATACCTGACTATGAAAAAATGAATAGTTATTCTCTACACAAATATAGGTAATGCTTACATTGTTCTAGTGATTACAGAATTAGTTGTAGTTAATAACAAGACACCTGACTATAAAAAAAAATGAGTAGTTATTCGCTACATGAATCTAGATAACACCTAAATTCTTATAGTGATTCCTTGAATCATTGTAGTGAATGAATAAATGAGGGGAAAATTGTCAATTCGTCTGAATTTCACAAATGACAGATTGGGTCAATGACCCATTCTGTCATTTTCGAAATTTAAGGACCTAATCTAGCATTTTCCATATTCCAAGGACCTTTTTTGGGATTTTCCCTAAAAATAACTTAGATCCTCTAATGCTTTCATCATAGAAGTACTTAATCATGATGAAATAAATAAGAAAAATAAGGGATAGACATTGTCATCCTCTAATGCTTTCATCATAGAAATACTTAGTCATGATGAAATAAATAAGAAAAAGAAGGGATAGGAATTATCATTGTGTTGAAAATAAAACCGGACTGATAAAGTAGAATAAGAAACCAAGCTGGTCCAATCAAATACTTGTGAACTGAGAAATTTTAACCTAGGTTGATCTGGAGTAACCCGCAATATTTCAAGAGCAACCTAGTTAACCTGACTAGTTTGATTTGTTAAGCTTGTTGCTGTTCTTTGTTATTATTATTATTTTAAAAAAAAGATGTTTTGGTGGAAAAGAAATAACTTCATTCTCAATGTTTTTTTTTAAGCTATTGATAATTATTAGTTTAATAATTAAGTGATTGTGAATAGGAATATTTGTTATCATATATTTATTTTGATATTTCGTTAGGATAAATATTTCGTGATTTTGGTAATATAATACATTAATACTATGACATCAATTTGTTAAAAAAATTGTAAGGTAGAAAGAAATTATAAGTATATGATTACTTTTTAATGAATTGATATTTAGTCATTGGATAGCATGATAAAAATTTAAATTATTTTTAAAATTTTTTATTTATCATCAGGTTGACTCTCAAACTAACTCTAACCTGATCCACTAACCCTTATTCTATTACCGTGACCACCAGGTGAGAGGTGGGTCTGGCTTTTGCATTTTAGTACATTGCAAATAATAAAAGTCATATTTATTAAGTTTTCTATCTCTCTGTTGGTTAATATTAGGAAGTACTAGTATTCATGGATACGAATTAGTGATGAGAGGATTCAAGTCTTGCAAAAAAATCACTGAAGGCTGTGCACTAAATGCATAACCGTGAGAGTAAAATTCAAACACGGCGTGAGTCATGTGAATTTGTGGGGATGGACGAACTTGTATTAAATGATGAATACTATTTTGCTTTTAACAATTGATGAGTTGAGAGTTGACTAATTCAAGTCAGAGTTTAACCCCGTAACTTTAGATGATGAAAAGGGAAGGATCCGTGTCATAGACGAAAAGGATGTTGATGGCGGCAGCTTAATTAAAACGCGTCAGCTTCAAATAAAGCACATAAAGTAGGAAAAGATACACGTCACGGGCTGCAGTTCTATGTTTGTGCCGTTTCACTTTGTCTCTGATATTTACTCATTTTTTTTCAAAGTAGTCCTTATAATAGTAATAGTAATTCTAATCAATACACATGATTAACAAAGATATTTTAGGAAAAACAACACATATTTATTCCAAATAATTAACATAACTAATTTTCTTAATCTACTCAAATTAATCAACTAGTTTTTATATTAAAGACCAGAGGTAGTATACTAGTCAGGTCAAATTTTAACATTTCAGATTTATTTATGTTATAATAGCTTCATACTGTTTTCTGGGGATTACATTCAGCAAGTAGAATTGCTTTATGCAAGCCTCAGAAACTAACAATCTGCAACAAAAGAGAGAGAACAAGTGAACCCATATCATTCAAAATAATTGCTTTATACTTTGCCGTTCAGTTTTTGATTCAAAAGCAAGGACAAGATGAGGAGTTAAAATGAAAGGAAGGAGTGAGGAAAGAATTCAAATACATTGGAAACAAACGAAAATCATTTGTATCAGCAAGGAACTATGTTTGCTATACGCCAGTAACTTAAGAAAGTGATCCAAAAATATCTAACACCAAAAACGTCTTCAGTAACACACCACTCGTTTCCAAACGCTACACGGTACATAACATGCAAACATTTTTCATCAAAATATACTTTTCAAGTAAAAATTTTGTAATTGATCAATTTTTATGTCTAAACAGCTTTATTAGCACATGACCGCATAAGTTAAAAATTCCATAATAGTTTCTACACGACATTAAAGAATGAAAAGAAGGTTCCATTTCTGACATTTATACATTACATGACCAAAAAATTCTTGTGTGGTGTGGTGTACATACATGCATATGTCTAGATTTGATTTGAACGTGCGACTCGTGGATAGATCATATTGAAACTTGTCATGTATGTACACTAGAATTTATTATACATAACCTGCAGTACACATGTACAGATTGATTGGAAAAGAATTTAATGAAAAAATGGGCAAGAGAAAGCAGGTAGTACCTATCCACTTCCTGCCGGAGGATTGTTTTGGGCAGTTGTTCTAGGAGGAGAACCACCCCTTCGTCTTATTCTGGGAAAAATTATAGGCCTACAGCACAATAAAAGCAAGACTACCTCAAAAATGAATGCTACCATTGTGATCCATATGAATATGCTCATCTTCCACTGCCACATAATCCTCTTCAGAAAGGGAAGTTCTGACTCCAGAATTAGATATGCATCATATAGTTCAGGAATGCCGGCACCAGGTCGATATTCTGCTCGATGCTCCAGAGTCACTTTTAAGCAAGAAGTAGGCAAATCATTCTTTTCAATGAAACCTCTTATCTTCACATTCAGACTCTGAGTTTCTGATATGCGCCCAGTAAGAACAGGAGCCATCTTGAGAAAAGTCAACACTAGGCGGACAGGCTCACTTTTGAATCTTAACATGGCTGGCTGGCTTGAGCTAGAAATGGTTTTCCCATTCAAAGATAGAAAATCTACCCTCACCTTTAAAAGAACAGAAATCAAATAAGACAGTTAAAAGCAAGCACAATGAAGCAACGAACTATAATCATCCAACTATGATATAAATTATGAATAAACAGCAAGCTTTTAGTCAGCACAAAGTTACTGCAGAAAAAATAAATTTATTTCTAAGAGATTTGAACAGTAGCACAAAGTCAAAATTGGAAACATATAGATTCTGACAAAAGTCGATTCAGGTGTTGTTCGTTTGATAAATACACCAATCACCAACACCTCACCAACATAGAGTCAACCATAGGAGACAAAACAGACAGGGTGAAACATCCAAGAGCTTGAAAGGATGTAAACAAACGCCCATATGAACTGTTGTAATCTATAACTAGCACAATCTTCATGGAAGAGTATAAAGCTTCGAACATGGAAGAGATATCCTATGAAGAACCCACCTCTCTATTTGAATTTAATAACTAGACAAGGGCACTTCAAATTGCCTCTAAACCACTTAACTCCTTTCAAATGAGTTCAATGGCTATACTGAGCCGTGATTATATGGAAACTTTGAGCTCCATACAAATTAAAGTATAGGACTCAGTCAAAAAATATTTTAAGACCATATAAAATTTGTCTATTAACAACACGGAATCATGGATAGAGATCGAAATAATTCAGAGTTAAAATCCAGAATGCAGACCAGAATCCCTTGGAGCTTCCACACAAGTGGCTACAAATAGCATATGAGCCACATCATAGCTCCCCATTACTCCACATCACTGTAAAATGTCTCTTTGAAATTAATCATCATTTTCGGTAGTTATTTACCAACTATAAAGCCATTCATTCCCTATCAAATAAGATGTCTTTCCAAAGGTTATCCTCATTGCTTATGATCACCAATTATGCGATTTTCAATGTTGAGCATGTCGCCACCCCGGTTCTCCCTTCTCACCCCCCATCCTCAACTAGAATATGCCTTTTCTAGAACAGGAGGACTTTGCTATCATTTTACTAAACCAAAGACTTTCCTTGAATTAGCCTATAGATCCAAAAGGAGAAGCAAACTCATTATCTGCTATTAAAAAAGACACACACACATTGTCCAATAATATACAGCCTGAAGACATGATCAGAATTGAAACCCTAGCACCCCTTGTCCAGCAATGCTATTTGTAACTTCAGTGATGAACGCACAGGCTATAAGGACAAACAGACACATTACTTACTGTTTTAGCTTAGCACAATAACACTGCTGTTCCCCTTCCACAACAAATTTTCCCCTTCGGTTCTTAACTATGTTCCATAATAAATTAACTAGTTTACTACGGGTAAGAAGCCGAACATTATCACTATTTAAAAAAAAAAAAAGGTTTTTCAAAAGAAGTCTAAGTAGAAATTAGCCCCTTTCTCCGTCCCTCCTCCAGATTAGAACCAGTAAATCTTAAGAATGGCGAGGTAAAATTATGGGGAAAATTGCAGAAAAGTTCAGCGTGAACCACATTTTGTTATACTGAATTAAATAAGACAGTTACCTGGAATATCCCAAGATTTCTGTTGTATTCAGACTCTGGCACTACTAATGAAACAGTGACCTGTACTTTGTGTCTAGGAGGTATAACTCGTGCCTCCATCCGGTTACCAGCTTCAACGTTATTCTCAGAGTCTACACCACTGCCAATGCCGGTGCATGACATTAATGGCACATAAGCAACAGGAGTCTGCTTTGTATAGTCGAAATTCAAAATTTCTTTCTTATGAATTGGCTTCTCCAAAAAGAACTTCATCATAAACCCACTAGTTACAAGAGATGAAACCAGCAGACTGACCAAAACGATACAAACATAGATTGACCACAAGAGGCCCCACCCATACCGTAAGGCAAGGTTCCCAATTGGCTTGCCATTCCCAATAACTCCATGAATTGGTGGAGCAACCCAACCCCTAAAACCATCCGACGCTCTGGTCAAAATCCTCATTAAAAGTCCCTTGGCCATTCTTATTGTTCGGAATGGATTGATAAAAAGCATACAAGAATGATATAGAAACAACAAAGGATAAGTTGTAAACATAACGAACAAATGGATTTGAAACCCAACAGCCTTAATCACTAATCCTGCTAAAAATTCGAGAAAATTCGGTGACGAGATACCCGCTTCATCGTCCGACTCATCTGTATCATCAACTGCATGACAAACCGGTGACGATATGCTCGCTTCCGCCCCCAAGGCAGTGTCATCACCGACTGGACAACAATTCGGTGACGAGATGCCCGCTTCTGCACCTGAGCCAGCTGTAGCATTAACTGTATCATCATTTTCAGGAGCAGCTGTTAGGGTTGATTCTTTATCCTTCTCTTCCCTCGGCTCATTTGTAGCTGTAGAGGACTCGGCTTGTTCTTGGATTGGATCGCACTTCTCAACCACACTCTCATTCACAGTTTCATCCAAATTTGCAGGATTTTTAAAACTTTGCTGCTTAATGAAGCTCAACCTGGCCTTATTGATCGCATCGCTCTCGCAGCCGATGGAAGAATTTCTCCGACCAAATGACCCCCGGCGACTTGGACGGCGTCGTATTTTGTCCGCCAAAGAAGGTTGCCAATGTCGAGAATCGTCCGAAATGGATTGGGGGTCAGAGATAGCGGAAGCGGAGACGGAAGTAGATGATTCCGGCGAGTCCTGGCCCGAGGGCCACTCATCGAGGGCGTCGAAGAATACGACGTCGCGGTCGTCCTCATGGATCGGGTCTGGAGGGTCCATTGAATTGAAGATGGCAATCAGAATCGGAGATTTGGCTAGGGTATGTCAAGTTCCCAACTGTTTCTATTGTGAGCATCAATCAAATTCGTTGGAAAAAGGAATCAAAAATGTTTTGTTCGTCAGCCGATGAATTGAGGGCAGGGCAATCGTTTCATGAGTGCTCTGGATCATCAAAAGATTGCATTTAAAGACAAGAATCATATTTGTTAAAAAAAAAATTGCAAATATATAATCATCAATATATTGCTCTTTCCATGCTTAACATAGAAACCACTTAATTAACTTAAATAGATTAAAAAGTTGAAAAGTTATTAATTATTAATATATGTGATATATTTTTCTTAAAATATTCATATATAACATTATATTATATATTAGATAAAATAAATTGAGATATTATCAAATCTAACACTTAACTAACTTAGAAGGAGTAATATATGAATATGTCAATATTCATTCAAAACATTTTTTTAATCAGGATCATATAAATGCAATTTTTTTATTATTCTTATTAAAAGCAATCATATTTAAAGTACTATCAAACACTAAATATGAATATCTTTCTTAAGTAAAAGTTGATTCATCACATTTTGAGAGAGTAGTTTTTTCTATTAGGCTTAATCCTGTTAGTGCTTTCTTGGGATTATTATGTCTCATGTCCTTGTCTCCTTTTTTTTTCTCCTCTAATCTATAAAATTCTTTAATGTAAGACGATGCTTGTAAATGCACATGGAATTTTGGGGGTGGTTCTATCTCTTTGTGCAAGTTATGAGCCACCGTCACTCTCATGCTTCTAAGTTTCAATCTTGGATCAAATTGTACTGGTGTCTTCAAATCATACAACGACATCATAATTTCTTTGTTTTTCTTTAGAAATGTCTAGGATCGATTTTTCATCTTAAGCAGTGGATTTTGGTTACTTCAAGGGTCTCATGGTTGCTGTGTTTGAATGGGAATCAGACCCGCCAATTTGAATTGGTTTGGACCATACTAAAATACTTTTTTAAAAATAATTTTAATAATTTTTCTTCTTTTAAGCATAAAACAATATAATATTTATTTATTTTAATTGTAAATGTTTATTTTTAATTTATTATACTTTAGTTCTTTTGCCAACCATTATACTTGCCATTAACAATTTTTTCATTTTATGTATTACATATTCAAAAGCAAAAGAAATTAAATCTATATTGTTTAGATTTTTATTGAAGAACTGAAAAATTGGATAGTTAAACAAGTAAAAATAAAAATTTAAATATTATGACATTATATATATGTGGATAAACGTTCAACCATTCAAGAACCAAGCAAAGGCATGAAGAGGTTTTTTTTTTTTGGATAGATACAAGTATTATCTTATTAGAGGTAATTATATTTGAGGTGTTATTGGATACTAAATTTAAACACTTTTTTAAGTAGATATTAAAACCAACGTGACCTTGTGAAGCATCAACTAATTTTGCTAAATCCAACTTCCATTGGCTAATCATTTTCAGTTTTTTTATACACACAAGTATATCTTTCTACTGAAAGCAATTCAGTTTGAGGTACTGTGAAGTTTTAAAGGGAAAAAGAAAGAAAAATGCACTCTTAATTTCAGAAGCCCAAAAACGTCCGCTGAATTCAAGAAATCCCATTTTGGTACTATGAGACCAAATTGGATTATTATGTGAAAGGAAAGACCAAATTACCCTTCATTTTAAATATTACTTTTAAAATATCACAGCCCCTACTGGCCGGCCGGCCACCGGAGCTCCGGCGGCGGCGGTCACTGGAGCTCCGGTGACCAGCCGACAATTGGTCACCAGCGCTCCGTCGGTCGGAATTTTTTTTTTTTGAAAATTTTCACAACTTCAATATAACGGTTAACAATTTTTGTAATGCTATTAATAATTTCAATATAGCAATTAACAACAGCTTTTCTGGGAAATTCAACAAACTCCGGCGACCGGAAACAATTTTTTTGAAAATTTTTACAACTTCAATATAACCGTTAACAACTTTTGTAATGTCATTAACAACTTCAGTATAGCAAGTAACAACAGGTTTCTGGGAAATTCAATAAAACTCCAGCAACCGGAAACAATTGTTTTGAAAATTTTTATAACTTCAATATAACGGTTAACAGCTTTTGTAACCCTATTAACAACTTCAATATAGCAATTAACAACAGCTTTTCTGGGAAATTCAACAAACTCCGGCGACCGGAAACAATTTTTTGAAAATTTTTACAACTTCAATATAACCGTTAACAACTTTTGTAATGCTATTAACAACTTCAGTATAGCAATTAACAACAGGTTTTCTGGGAAATTCAATAAACTCCGGCGACCGGAAACAATTGTTTTGAAAATTTTTACAACTTCAATATAACGGTTAACAACTTTTGTAACCCTATTAACAATTTCACTATAGCAATTAACAACAGCTTTTCTGGGAAATTCAACAAACTCCGGCGACCGGAAACAATTTTTTTGAGAATTTTTACAACTTCAATATAACGGTTAACAACTTTTGTAACCCTATTAACAACTTCAGTATAGCGGTTAACAACAGGTTTTTGAGTTTGTTAAATGCATTACTGAAATTATAAAAAAGCCACTTTTTGAATTTTTCAAAAAACTTGTTATTAACTGCTATATCAAAGTTGTTAACCGTTATATTGGAGTTGTAAAAATTTTCAAAAAAACATAATTGTTAACGTTGTACTGAAGTTAAAATTTTTTACAACTTCAATATAACGGTTAACAACTTTTATAATGCTATTAACAATTTCAATATAGCAATTAACAATTTTCCTAGGAAATTCAACAAACTCCGGTGATCAGAAATAATTTTTTTGAAAATTTTTACAACTTCAATATAGCGGTTAACAACTTTTGTAACCCTATTAACAACTTCAGTATAACGGTTAACAACAGGTTTTTGAGTTTGTTAAAAACATTACTGAAGTTATAAAAATGCCACTTTTTAAATTTAAAAACTTGTTGTTAACTGCTATATCAAAGTTGTTAACCGTTATATTGAGGTTGTAAAAATTTTCAAAAAAACGTAATTGTTAATGTTATACTGAAGTTGAAAATTTTTACAATTTCAATATAACGATTAACAACTTTTATAATGCTATTAACAACTTCAATATAGTAATTAATAACAAGTTTTCTGGGAAATTCAACAAACTCTGGCGACCGGAAATAATTTTTTTGAAAATTTTTACAACTTCAATATAGCAGTTAATAACTTTTGTAACCCTATTAACAACTTCAGTATAGCGGTTAACAACAAATTTTTTTTGAAAAATTATATAACTCAAAAACCTGTTGTTAACTGCTATACTGAAATTGTTAATAGGTTACAAAAGTTGTTAACCGTTATACTGAAGTTGTAAAAATTTTCAAAAAAATTGTTTTCGGTCGCCGGAGTTTATTGAATTTCCCAGAAAAGATGTTGTTAATTGCTATACTGAAGTTGTTAATAGCATTATAAAAGTTGTTAACCGTTATATTGAAGTTGTAAAAATTTTCAAAAAATTGTTCCGGTCGCCGGAGTTTGTTGAATTTCACAGAAAACCTGTTGTTAATTGCTATATTGAAGTTGTTAATGGCGTTACAAAAGTTGTTAACGGTTATATTGAAGTTGTAAAAATTTTTAAAAAAATTGTTTCCGGTCGCCGGACTTTGTTGAATTTTCCAGAAAAGCTGTTGTTAATTGCTATATTGAAGTTGTTAATAGCATTACAAAAGTTGTTAACCGTTATATTGAAGTTGTGAAAATTTTCAAAAAAAAAAAAATTCCGATCGACGGAGCTCCGGTGACCAATTGTCGGCTGGTTGCCAGAGCTCCAGCGACCACCGCCGCCGGAGGTCCGGTGGCCGGCCGACCAGTAGGGGCTGTGATATTTTAAAAGTAATATTTAAAATGAAGGGCAATTTGGTCTTTTCCTTTCACATAATAATCCCAATTTGGTCTCATGGTACCAAAATGAGATTTCTTGAATTCAGCGGACGTTTTTAGGCTTCTGAAGTTAAAAGTGCATTTTTCTGTCTTTTTTTTCAGTTTTAAATATTAGCATCTCTCCCAACAAAACTTTATCTTCATTTTTTTTGTACTAATTTTATCTTCATTTGTACGTTATAAGACTCTTTTTCTTTTGGTTAGGCCCAACTCAGTTGTACTTGTTTCGTTCTCAAAGCTATTACCTTGTCGGTGGGGATAACGAAAGACTGAGAGTTGGATTTCCCGGAGAGTATAATGGATTAATCGCCCTACTCCTATAATTGGGCTTAAAATATCAACTTCCTTGGGCCATACCCCTTTTCGAATTTTTTTTTTCCAATTTAAAACACAAAACAACTCTAAGCATTTCAAGGGAGGACTTTGAATCTTGTTCGGCTCTTCGAAGGGAAAGAGTTGCAAAGAAAACAAGGGAATGTTAAGATGATAAAATAATAATAGTAGTATAAAAAGATTAATTTGTGGAACAATGATAAAGGATATGCTTTCAACGATTAAGAATTGGACAATGCTCTTTAAATTCTAGTCTAGTGACATGAAAGCTTTTTTTTTTTTTTTATAAAGAGGAGGTTACGGATTTCATCGTACTAATAATCTCAGACAGCTAATTAAGAACTTAAACAAAGAGAAGAGAATGTTACTGTGCACCATTTGGTTGGCGGCCAGCAGAAAAGTGGAACAGCGATATAAAAACTTTAATGCGAAAAATATATATTGCCTCTAATACTTAACATAAAAGTTAATTTGATTTTTAATTTGATCCTAAATATAAGACTTCAATATACTATATTTTTTATATTTATCCATTTTTTTAGAGTAGTCCTCGTGCTCTTATAATAGTTGCGTATATTAAGAATTTTATTAAGTCGTAGTTATAGTTATAGGTAATACACATGATTAGTAAGAGCATTTTAGAGAAGACAACACCTATTTATTATAAATAAATACCTCAACAAATTTTTTTAATCTACTCAAATTATTTAATTAGCTCCTATATTAATAATAAGAGATCGTGTATATATATATTTTTGGCAAATGGAAAAA